TCATGCCGGAAAAGAAATTGGAGCACAGTTTCCTGGTAGGACAACGTGCGTAGTGGAGATGAACCTGAATTTGGTCCATTCAGACTATGGCATGTAAATTATCACCACTGTTCCCATGTAGACAGAGGTCTTCTCAGTCAAGATCCTGTAGTGCTGGAGAAATGCTGCTCCCGCTCAAGAACCAGGTCAACAACCAGCAGCACAGAGGCCGAGAAAAACAGATTTACAAGAGTGCCATTCTCCCTCCCACATTTGTGATCAGCAGTGATAAGAGCTATTTATAATTACACATCCGTTTGTTCATACACGAGAGAGTAAACCTCTCCAATACCATCTTCATGTGATTACCATCTCCCAGTGGGGCTTGCAGTTTGATGGCGGAAAACCGATGAGTGAATCATGATTGATGCATCTGTTGTTGGTATCCACTCCAGTACCTTTACGGACTGTGCTTAATGTGTCGGAAAGCACTGTGGAACGTTAAATTTCCATCTCGAGAACAGCCCTGTAGGACTGAAGCTGTTGCTGCTGTCCTCTGAAAGGGAAGTGCTGGAACTAGCCTCTTCCTTGCTGAATTCCTCAAACACGTTAGGGATCTCTTCTTCCTAAACAAGCCCCTCTCAAAGGCCTGTATCCAAAACACAAAGGTGAGCTTTGCTACTAATACACGAGATCTAAAAAAGAAATACTGAAATGAAAGCTTAAATATTTAAACGTCTGAAAAAATGTGCCAACATGCAAGTTGAGGATTCTGCTGCCACAACAGAAATAACCCAATAACATAAAGAAAAGGAAATCTTTAATTTTCTCCGTCATTGTTAAAGCACTTTACAACTATTAATTAAATGCTTACAATCACCAATACAGCCAATTTCACCTTAATGGCTTTGTGTGTGTGTGTGTGTGTGTGTGTGTGTTGTGTGTGTGTGTGTGTGTGTGTGTGCGCGCACGCACGCGCTCATGCCTTGCAGAAAAGCTCAAGCAAGCTGAAAGAGAGGCAAGTTCGGCACATTTGCCGAAGCTCTACTCTGACCACTAGTTTGACCAATAGCAAGTTTTCAGTCCTCCACTTCTCTCTTTGGACCATGATCCTCTCCAAGAAACAATGCTTTCAACACTCATTTCACTACTGATGATTTTACCAAAGTGAAACACAAAGCCCTCCGATTTGTCTTTAAAAGCCCTAAGACCCACGCAAATAGCACAGAAAAAGAAATGGCTTCAGGTCTGACTTTTAACCTGTGCTATCACCATCGAGGGGACACAAGCACCTCCAGGGGAAAGGAGTGCAGCCTGTCAGCTTTGAATGCTGCCCAGAAATTCTTCCCTTAAAACAAGGTATCCTTCCAAAAACAGCAAAGAAGGGATGAGCAGGCACCAGAGATTACCAGCGTGGCTACCAGACAGTGCAAAGAAGAATTGCAGGAAAGATGAGAAAAAGGAGGAGGAAGCTCTAATCTTATAGCATCTGGGTCTGAAAACCACAATGTATTTGCAAACTCCACTTTCTAATATACTTCAAAACTGTGAGGAAGGCAACAATTATGCCTGTTTTACAGAGGGAGCCGCAGCAGAGAGAATTAAGCGTTCTGACTCACATGCATTAAAGCAAACAGCTGCAGGAGCATACGCTGTTTTGCCCTAGCACAGCACTTGCCCCACCGAGGTGGTTTACCTCCCGGGGCAGACAAGTAGTAGAGCATGTGGTGCCAGTCGCTGCCCAAAATATTTATGGAAATCTTCCTTTTTTGGTTCTTTAAGAAAATAAATCGCTGCAAAGCACTGTGGCTCACACGCTGTCACGCTCACTTCAGCCATCTCGGCTACAGAGGCAGCATCCTCCAGAGCTGAGCTGGACAACTGCAGCCAGTAGCTTCTTAAAATGCGATAAAATCCAGTAGGGGTCTCATGCAAGTCCTAAAAGACTTGCATGAAATCACAAAATCACACCATGGTGACTGCAGCACCCAACACGCCACGTACCCATTGTGCTTCGACGGTTCATGGTTTGGTCCCAAACGTGTTTCTAGACCACGAGACAACTTGTCCGATTGCCAGAACAGAAGCAAACTTGCCATGTCTCTGCGGGACTAAGGGCAGAAAAGTTTTATATGTCAAAGCCCCCACATTCGGCTTGAAATATCTAAAAGTTATTGAGCAGGTAAAAACCGGCCTGATGGGAAAGGAAGTGAAAGATGATGGGCAAGATGATGTACACATTTTAGAATTTCTTTTGCTCTTTCTCAGTTGAATTCAGGTGTCTGATCACCTACAAAATAAGTAACATTAATCATTTTGTAGGATTTCACAACACTTAAGACTTGAAAAAACATCTTTTTTCACTATAAAGTGCTTCTTCCATTACTTTTATCTTTCTGAAGCTGCTTGCACAAATAGGCTGACTTCCATGCTGATGGTCTTAAGCAGAGTCTGGCAGGATGACTCAGACCGCGCACCAGCTAAATGATCAGTCAGAAACCCCAGCCAGAGTCTGCAGAACTAGAAACCGGCAGTTTAAAACAGTGTTCCAGGTAATTTCACTCTAAACAAATTTAGTAGAAAAGAAAATGTATGACTCATAAGGAAAAAAAAAACTATATATATACATATCATTATAAATGCATCAAAATATTTTGCAACGTCAGCTCTGGGAACTGATTCTCAACATCTTACATCGTGTATACATCGAAGGAGACAGAATTGAAGATGATTGCATGGTCCTGATCAATAAACACATCAAATATGAAGTCGATGGGACTATAAACCAAGGGAGAAGAGTCAACATCATACATGCAGACAGCAGCACAAATGACCTACACCAGCTCTCTGTGACAGCCATGTATACATGTGAACCCCGTGATGGCTCTCAGCACCTTCTCCCACCTCTTAGATCGGACCTCCGGAAAGCACCTCTTCTGCTGGCAACGCTTTTCGCCAGCAAAGAGAGGCTGGCATATGTCATACCCTTACAAATAACGCAATTTCTTACGAATGGGCCGAATTATCCATGACTTATGGAACTGAAGTTCTACCTCTGAGCTCGTTCAGAAGTCAAGGAAGAGAAATTAGTTCATCTTAAACAATGCTAAAAAACTCACCAGAAATTTCACCATTATCTCAGAAAACAGGATATATTAAACCAGAAGGGATCACTGATCCTTTATAACAACATTTTAGAAACTTGATAAAATGATGAGGAAGAACCCAACAAGAAAACCCAAAAGCCCTGGCAGGCCTTCTGCAAACTGCTTTACCAGTCCCACCAAAGATCTCACCAGTGTTGCCATACTCCCAGACCTGAATTTAAAGGCTGCATTTTATAATACTGGATTATGCCTTTTTGGCTTGTTTTTTCCCCTGGTGCTGCTCAAAGTGGCGGGTTGTCCGCAGCGGGTGAATCAGAAAGGATACGGCCACAACGTGAACATGATAGGAGTAAAGTCATGATACTGCAAGGAAACGCATGGCTTTCCATGGCGTTTCATGCGATTACGAGAGCAAAACCTAGGGCTCCTTAGCTCCTCAAAATAAATCTGTGAAGCAATAGTGTCATTTGCTTAGAGAAAGCAAAGAGAAAGCATAAGAGAAATAGTATGCTTTCTCTTCCCCTATTGGTATTGAAAATGACAGGCCTCTTCCAGAGATCTGCCTCAAATAACATATCTACCCTGAATGGGTTTTAATGTGTTCAGTACCCCGCAGAGCATGTCAATGTGTGCTGGAGAGCCTTGTAATTGCCTTTTTCTCATAGCAGGGCATTTTCAGAATTGCACCTTTAAAGATGTCACAACTCTTGTTGGTATTTAGCCCACATCCAGTGATCATTGAAGGTCCAAGAGATTTCACAGAAGGCAAAGTTGTGATTCAAAGAACACCAAAAATACTCTTAATGCCAATGTAAAAGTATTTCAGTTCTCTAGGTGTCTCTCTATAAACTGAGGCTGTCTTTATCTTTAATTAGTAAAAAGCTATTGCCTGTTCTTAACAAGGCACTTCTCTTCCCAAGTCTAGCAAGGTATTATTTAAGCACTGATGGATAACTAAGTTCCTCACTTCATCCTAATAATTCTATACAGAAATGGTACCCCAAAACATTAACCATTTCTTCAAATACCATTACAATATTGGTGCACACAGGGCTTGTTCATCTCATAATGCCATAAGGGTATTACCAAATTCAGCTTTGCATTTAGATGAGATTTTCAAGTATTTTGTATCTCAAGCGTAGTTTACATCAAAGCAAGCATCGGAAGGATGATGGCATTGCCCGCCTTTTGCAGAAGTACAGGAACCAGCTGCACTTCACATCTCGCACAAGACAGTTTCCAACCATAAACGTGTATCTGAAATTTAATAACCGCTGTTACAAAATCAGATTCAGCAGGGACGTTTGCAGAATAGCCTGTGCAGGTTTTAATCGAGTTCTCCTTAGCAAAAAGAGAGAATAATAGTTGCCAGGATTTAGGACTGAGACTTTGATGCACAATCAAGTTACATCATCTGAGTGAATGTAAGTAACAGCATGTGCACTCTGAGCCCACAGCAAAGCAAGATAAATTATACTTGCTTATACCCCTGTGAAAGATTTAAGCAAGCGTGTTTTATCTCACATTTGCATCAAGTTCAGCGGACAAATTGCAGTCAGGCTGCTACACGGTAACTTGTTAAACCGACGCAGCTTTCCTGCACTTCAAAGCCTTAGGAGTGCAAGTAAAGAACGTGCTCTTTGATCTCAGCAAAGAGCGTATCCGTTCCTTTCACTCAACCAGGCCTTTCTTCTAGATTAGAAGTTCGTTTAAGGCAGAGGTCATACGCAAACTAGGATTACATTGTCGGGAAGAGTTACCAATAACTTAGTGAACACTTTTTTCCTTAACAAACCCCCTGAATCCTGAATTCATTCACTATGTTTGAAACTCTTTGGCAATAAAAAAACGTCTATCAAGACACACCATGAGCAACACAAAGCCTTTTTATTCACCTTTCAAAATAGAAAAGAAAGTAATATCTTTCGTTTCAGTTGTGCTTTAATATCCAAGACGTGTTACGTAGCGCGCAGAGGTTGTGCATGTGTTACTTTCTGGTTTGGGATTTTTTTAATAGCAAGGTACGTGTTATTTTCTGAAACACTTGGCATGTTCCTGGTCGACAGAGGTAGAGGTTTCCCCAAGTATTTCTTAAACGAATTTGACATTTCATATAATTAAATTAGCGACTACAGAGTAAGCATTGGAGCTATCATATTATCCAAGCTTCGCCTATATGAAAGTAATTGTACTACCTTCAGAATCAAAGACAGGGAAGCCGGGTGGTTAAACCCCAGTATTAGAAGGATAAATTGTTATAATTGTATTAATCACCATTTTTGCACTGGTGCTGAGGATTACTCCCCGAAGTCTAGCGTGCTGAGCGCCGCACAAAACATACATGACTACATGGTTCCTTCCCAGAAGAGCCTCCAACCGAATGTTCCTTTGCTCGAGCAAGTACGGGAATTTGCCAGGCGTATGACTCAATCGGCACTTTCGGAGGGGCCTGATCCTGCAGACCTATGTCTATTAGCAGTTCCTGCAAGCACAATAAGATTATTCGTGTGTGATGTAAGACCGTAGCCCCGACACAAACAGATAGGATTTAAAGGCAGGCAGTCAACAACGCTGTATTTATTCCTTTTAGGCGGCCAAGCCTATCTTTTCCTAGACAGTCTACAAATCTATTTGCTTCATGTGTAAATTATATTCACACCACACCGGCATCCTTGCCAGGGGGAAAGCAGGGAACCTTTTCCTGAGAGTTACATTTGCCTTTTTTGGGCAAAAAAGCCACAACCCACCCCTTTCGCTATTTTAAGTGTGTTTAAGTACTATCAGTCACTCTGTGCAAAGAACAAAGCACAATAACTAATATATGCAGAGATGTGCACTATATATATTTCTCTGAATGACTCTTAACTGTGTTCAAACTGCAAGTAATGCCATTTTCTTCATCCATGCCCACGTCTTCCTCCCTCAATGCCCTATTCTTTTGGCCTCTCAAATTTTTGCCTTTTTTTTTTTTTTTTTGTGATTAGTGTCTAGCGACTGATTATATTGCTAAAGCACAAGGAAGACGACTGGCCAATTTGAGCAACTTCTCCAGAGGCCGCAAGGGCAAAGACTTACTTTTATTCTTTGTAGCTGGCAGAGCCGACCAGACTGCAAGGCAGCACCTGTGCTGAGCTGGTGCCGCTCTTCTTACCTCCTTTTCTTTCCTTACAACATGAGATAAATGGCTGCGGTGCATCATCATCGCACTATTTTCAGACCTGGCTGCACATCTCACTTCTCTGAACAGACCAATAATCGTAACTATTAAAAATGTTGGTGGGCAGACCAGACCCAAACGTGCCCTCCTTCGCACCAAAGAGACGCAAACCCGCCGGATGCAGATGGCCCACATTAGCAAAGGGTTGTGTCCAAGCTAAATTGCCCTGCCTATGTTAGCTTAGGAATGGCCCTAAACTAAACGCAATTATTCGAAATCTGCAGCCGAAGTGGTAGTTCGGAGGGTCTTATGCCGCATCAGGAGACCATACCAGCTTGGCTAGCCAGGACCTAAAGACACTGAAAATGAGAGCTGAGAGCTGTAGCTTGCTTAGAGAAACCCTTCAGCAAAATGCACAACGTGACTGATGTTTGCTTGTGGTGTAAACCACTTACACATCCATTTTCTTCTCTCCCCGGGCAGAGAGGCATTTGCAACATAGGGCCTTGCTTTGGTTGAGCACTTAACACTCCCAGGGTTTTCTTAAGACTTATAAAAGATGGTGAACATATTTATAACTAAAAGAAATAGTGTTTTAAAAATAAAAATGCCCCTTCGCTCTCCCCCTTTGCTGTTGAGCAGTAGTGCAGGCGACAGAAGGGGAAATATATCCCAAAGCTCTCTTTATGGCTCTCCTTGAAAAGAAGGAAGTACTCATTACTGTTTTCTCAGTAATGAGTACTGATCACCCCTGCTAGTTGATGGTCACTGGTGTTCATGTATATATTAACAGATTTCATCTCCTTCCTTCCCGCTTTACGGTGTGTGGCCTTTTGAGGAAACCACTTTTCCCCTTCCAAGGAACAGAGCAAGAAAGTAAACGTGAAGGATTGAAGCATAAAGGAAAGGTTGGGCTACACTTCAGGGAAGGGTTAACAGAGAAGATCACAGATCAATCTGGCTCTGAATTAATCTCCCTGAGGAGGTAATTGAAGCCTTATGATGAGGAACATTTAAAAGTACTCTGGCCAACGTGTAGGAGACCATCCAGTAGGGATGGACCGCAGGGCTGGTCCTGCCCGTTAAGACACGTTAACTTTAATAACACATGTCCACACTCATCCCATCACATGCTGTCACCTCTGGGTTATCAGGCCTCACTTCAGGTCTTGCTGCTGCCTGGAAATACGCTGTACCCCTAAAGGAAGGGGAAGACATTGGCTCTCCCTGAAACATCTGGCTCTCTTTGGCAAGTGCACATCGCACACGGTGCTGTGCCAGCACCCCTCTGGCTGCGTCACGTTTTATGAGCTACTCAGTCTCTAATTACCTTTAAAATGTGGAATGTCTCGATTCCACCACTGACAGATTTAGTGACTAATAAAAATATCATATGTTTGTAGGAACACTAAACCCGACCCCAGCGACTGCAACCCCAAGGAGTGCTGGGGTGGCTTTGGAAGCCACCTACCTTTCTGGCAGGAAGGTCCTCGAAGATACTGGGGCCAAGTCCAAGACTCACACATGAGCTGTTTGCCTTGAAAGACAGACAGATTAGCTGTAAAAAGCTGGTGGCACTTGCCAGAGGCAAGCTGTTGAGCTTACGTACTAATCTGGTTCGAGGAAGTGATGGGGGGACTCCAGAACTGCCGACGTTGATGGCAACTCGTTTCCCGCTATACGGCTCACGTGATGGGGCTCTCTAGGTGAAAGTTAGGGATAAAGGCGAAAGAACAGTCGGAGAAGAACCCTGGGAGCAATCGAGGCAATCAAAAATAGTGTAGGAAGTGAGTTTCGGAACTACTGAATTCTCTATTAGGAAAGATAAAAGCCAAGAAAGTAAACGATGTAAGGTTTACAAACCATGCTTGTACAGCCGTCTAGGAAAGACAACCTACTCACACCTCACCAGAAGCAAGTGGACAAAGACTCGCTCAAAAGCACAGGTAACCGAGTATTTTTCCATTAAAAGGAAAATCAGTAATTGCTGTAAACTGATAAGGAAGCTTAGGACATGCCTGCTCCACCATCTACATCCCAGGAAAAAAACCCTCTGAATAAATGCAGGCACCCTGGACATTGCCAGCTCTGGAGACTAACTCTTCTCTATGTCAGGACTAAGAAGGCAGACGGTCAATCATGCTCTCCCTGAAAAAACTTCTGGAGAAACAGAAGGTGCATGAAGTCCTCAGTTCTGTAAATTCAGCTAAGACATTAAAAAGCCATTAGAAATGGATAATGAAATTAAGAAGGGAAAAGCTAATAAGAACCACTGTGCAGAGGGAGTCCTGCTGGTGCTCAGCAATGCGGCCAGCTGAGCACTGACAAAGAACAAATTGAGTGTTAGGAGGAAGGAAATAAAGAAAGCGACATAGTTCTGCTTGGCAGAAAAAGTATAATAGATTCTCTCTTGGAGATGTATCAGCATCTGATGCTTTTAAATCATGGAGGAAGGTAGAGAGGAGCAAAGCTTTTAGCATTCAAAGCAAAATCTGTGGGGAGACCTTTATAATGACGAAATACACCCGGGAGCAGTGGAATTAATGGGATGCAAAATCTTCAGCAGGTGCCTGGGCACCCCAATCCTTCCCCCTTCCTCTGTCCCCTTGGGGACCCTTGGGATCCCAAAAAGCTTTCCAGCTCATCCAGGAAGAATAAGGTAAGCTTTTCCTCCTTTCCTGTCGTCCAGCCTGGAAATTCCTAAGTATGTATTTGTTCATGACCTTAACAAGGTCTTCAATATGCTTAAAATCCACAAATGAAAGAGCAATATGTAACGCAAGTTAACATCACCATTAGGAAAAGATGTGCTGCTTAAGAGTTTCGACCAGAGTTGGAGCGGGAGGTAGTCTTAGCTCAGAAGAGAGATCTCTACGTCCTGGCCTTCGATCTTGTACTGAGAGCTAGGATAAATCAAGCTTTTATATCTCTTCTCCCCCTTCCTCACCCAATGGAGAAAAAGTTGAAGACCTTATTGAAAATGAGGAGATTTCTTCTGGGCCTTAAGTAGGTTCAAGCACATCTTCAACAGTCCTTTCAAGCAGTATATAGCTGTTCCTTCAATAAACAGGGGTTTGGAGTTTTTGTTTTGTTTGTTTGTTTTTCTAGAGAAAATAAAAAGGCTGAAACCAGCTGCATTAAGTTTAAAAGAGATATGGACTTTCGCAGACACAGTAAGGCCATGCAGGAATAACTTACTGACACCAAAGAACAAATCCTAACATACGCTCAGGTTTCAGGTTACTGTGTCTGCTTCGAAGTGCAACAAAAGCATGTAGGTGGCGGCATGTGGACAAACCCTCGTGATCCCAGCACACTCCGTTTCCATCTTCCACCCAACATGCAGACCTAAACTGAATGCTCTGGAGATACCTAAAGTAGGCGGTTAAGGGAAGGAATCACCTAGTGAAAGTGGCTCACCTTCAGTGCCATTTCACGACGTTTCTTAAACTGAGCATAATCTATGCATCTGACCGCAGCTTAACCATCTCCTTCTCCCCTTGGTCCAGGCAAGCAGCAAATTAGTCAATGTGGAGGCACTCTGCATCTCTTTCTGCCTGACTTCTGATGACCATAAAGCAACTGTCAACTTCTACCACCCCTCCACCTTTTGAGCCTTAACCAGCTCCCAGTTATACCAACAACTACCTAGGAAAATCTGTCCCCCCACCCTGACTTGCACATGATCAGGCTGGTTACACCAGAGGACAATACTATGTTGGTAAAAGAGTGGACAAATATGATAGCATCCACCTTTACTATGGATCACACCTCATTTACCCTTTGATATATCCCTGCAACATGTAGGGTCAGAGTTTGGTCTTGTATTTCTACCTGCGTAATCACCTCACATCCTGGAAAAATGCAGCCACCTCTGGCATAAAGCAAGGGAGCAGGACAAAGTGACCATGTGGAGTTTTCTCTCAAAGACTGAAGAGCACCTTGGGAGTGAAAGAATTAATTCAGAACAAACAGCACACACTTCTGCCTCTACAAGACCAGGAGAGGTGAATCAGCATCATTTTCCCATTTCCTACAAAGTAGCTTGAGAGTAGGGCAAGATGTTAAGAGTCTATAATATTAATTATGTTAATAGTTTTTAATTTAAGAT